AAGTTGGCAAATCAACTATTTTTCAAATTGCTAGAAGCCCTGATGCATTTTACAGAGCCATATCTGAAAGTAAATTCAAGCATTGTCTTTCCTTGTGTACAACATTATATACAGCCAAGCACACCTTCCAAGTCAATGCATTCCTTTTATTAAGACTGTGATTATATTTTGGCCACCACCTTGACCTTTGTTAAGACTTGACAAAGTCCAAGGATCGTATATATTTTTGTGCTTACATTTTACCGGATTACAGATCTGGGGTCTTCAGCACCCTCCAAGTTGTGCTCCACATTACATATCTGTATATATAGACTACTTTCCTTGTGTAAAAGCATTGCTTAGCTCTGCCATATTTAGCCATCTTACTGTGGCATTGGCCCCATTACAGCTTGACAAAAAAAAACAAATCTTATAAAATAATGCGATTTCAATGAACCATCACCGTTACTAAATTACTTTAACAGATTAGCAATTAGACCCCAGTATCTCTCGAATGCATCTTTTATTTAGGATAACATCATAAGACACTTCCTGTGGAAGATCCACCTATTTGTAGTCAAATCTTCTATAATAAAGAAGCCCAACCCAAGTCCTCCAGTTAGACTGGAATTTCTGGTGACTAGCAGATAAGTCCACAAAATATTGTCCACCAGAAATTACGGGGAAAAAACTAGACACTCAGATTATTCATTATATAATTTTTATGTAGTGGTTTGCTTGTTTTTTGTTTTTTTTTTAATAATATTGCAATTCATGAAGCATAGATTAAAAAAAAATAAGAATAAAATTCTATTAACTCAAGTAGAGTGTTTTTTTTATTACAGGTGAATGCTCTCCCTGAACCAGACCCCTTTATTTAACCCCCCCCCCCCACCCTCCCCCCAGCACAGATTATATAATTAAATATATAGATTATATATAATAAGATACATTTCTGTTTGGTCGTAAAAGCAGGATGGCAGGATAATATACTGCAATATATAGATTCTTTCATTTTAAAAAAATATCCTACATTCCTTACAAAAGCTTTCGGCCAAAAGGAAAGATTTCTGCAATCTTAGGTTTTCTTTGCTTTTGGTTTTAAGTATATTATAATAAATATGCCTTACAGAATAAAGTAAATGCATTTATATTTTGTAATAGCTAACAAAAAGATAAATTGCTCTTGGTAAGACTAAACAGTAAGAATATGTTATACCTCATTTAATGATCCTACCTCTAACATTACTGAATTACTAATTATAATTGATTTTTTTTTTTTTACGATGAACAAGTTGTGTATTGGTATTCTTGTAAATATCACGGGTTTATATACATTAAAGCAGCACATGGTGGGGTTTTGACAATCATATTATATAAACATAGAAGTTTGGGCATGATCTTCGAATGTCGATTGTTAACTCAACGCAACTCTCTGCTTCAAATCTAAACCCAAACAAAACCCCCGAACCACAGTGATGGCTAATTACCCATTACCCATGATGCTCTCTCCGCCGTTCAGCCAAAGGTTAGCCACCACTTTTATTCACCATTTTGAATAGTTTTTCGCTGTAAATTAAATTATTCTTTTCTATCACAGCTATTTACAGTAAATAGTTTATTTAGAAAATATTATGTTCATTTGGGTTTAACATACTTTGCGGAGCAGCAATGGGGTATAATGCAGATTATCGCAGTTTCCTAACTATCTGATATTAGCATGACGGCTGAAAAACATAATAGAATCACTTACAGAGACTGCATTACTTTGTAGATTATATAACATGTACTTTGTTTGTTCCCATGTGTTGCATATGGGATGTTACTTGCTGTCTACCTATTTCAAAGCTTAAAACAATTGGCCTTCGGTCTGTACAAGGGACAAGGTGCAAAATATTTGACATTAACTATGTAAACCAGTGGAGAATTTTTCAGTTTACACATTTCACACCTTGTCTCAGAATTGTTTTCTGTTATATAACATTTTACAATATATTAGTCTGTATTTATTAAAGTGAACCTGGGGACATGGTGTTCAGCTATGTTCTAAAAATAAATGCAAAGCAAAATCCACTAATATAGGAGAATCTATGTGCTGAGTGGTTGCAAATTGAGCATTTTGTCTCATGAAAGCACTAGAATTGTCTTGCAGATTGTGCGTAATGAACCATTCTGGGACAGTATGGTTAATGTGGTGCAGTCAGTTTAAACATTCCATTGGTTTCCATGGCAATGGTTCCATTTTTAGAGCTTTGTCTCAAAATTGCTCTTTGCGCAAAAGTCGCATAGTGTCAGGGTAGCTTTATTCTATTGGAATATTGGACATTTAGACACTAAAACAGTTGTTCATACAGTTTAAAAAAAATAAAAAATATTCCACTAAATGTACTGGACCATAAAATGAAAACTTAATTAAACTAAAATAAATTTTCAGACGATAAAAAAATATATATTTTTAAAAATATATAGAGTTTTGTAGGGCATGTACTTTTCTAATGTGTAGTACTTCAAGAGGCCACAGGGGGTGTTTAAGATATGGCTGGATCCATTATTTGCCTGTTCATTCAGATAGTTGCTTTAAACAATTTGAAACATGTATGTCTAACTATGTTTCATTTTGGTCAGAAAAGCCTCATGTAACAATTATTATGGCTGAAATAGCACTTTAAGGCGCAGTATCTATATATAACATCTGTATCTATAGTAGCTGTTCGTATAGTAGCAGTACCCATCAGTAGTCTCCACCAATATCTTCGAAGTTAGCATTCGCATGGTGATTACAAATAAGCCTACAGTTGCAAATATGTAGTTTACAAAAGTTACCAATAAACCAATAATGATACCAGCACTATAATTTTATTTATGATCAAAATGACTAATTATAGAAATGTTGATTACCCAGCTTTTTGGCAAACACTCTTATCGCACCATCCCAAAACATGTATTTGAGCTATACATTTTATATATAAAACTTACTTGCATAGTTTCAATTATGTCTTCGGTTTGTTTTTTCACTGAATGTTCTCTTGAGGAAGCAAATAACTTGCTTCGGTTTAGGATGGCCCATTTGCTGCAAAACCCTTTATTACCCTCTCATCTTAGAAAAAGTCAAATTCTATCTTAGATGAAGGACTTTAGTTCCCACACTTAGTGCAACTTTTTGAAGGTACGATGTATTTGATATTGCCTACACAGGGCAGTTTAGCGTTTAGGGAATACAGAGTGGAATTCTAAAAAGGGTTGCGTTTTCTTAAACTCGGATTCCTTGTAGGCGATTTCTTTTGTGCATTGTTTGAGAAAGCTACCCTGCTGAGTATGTTCAAAGTGTACAGTAATATGTAAATATGGTTCTTCTATAGCACATTAATAATGAATGTATGTTTTGATACAATGTGAATTGTAAATATGGTTCAGAGATATGTTTATGTTGCTTAGCTTATAGAAATCATATTTCACAGTTTAAAATTGAATTCCTCTTGTTGTTCAATGGCTGGTTTTGTAACATGTTTAAATTCTAGCCCAATGGGTGGGGCTGGATTTCTTACCCTGGAACCCCTACTGACATATCTCCCCAAAATTCTAATTTAAAGAGGAACAAGGTTTACTCTAGACAGGTTGGGGCCTAGTAAAGAAATATGTAATGTGGGAGGGACACAGCAAGCTGTGGGAGGAGCTAACAAGCCACTCCCACTTCGTCAGATTTTCTCCTAAGTTAAAAATATTTGGTACCAGTTATAAGAAATCCAGCCCTGCTGATACATCTTACCTGGTTTTTCTATGTCCAGTAGATGTACGGTAGTCAAACTGTTCTGTTACTTTTAAATTAGGTGTAATTAAACACTGTGAGTTTTAGCTTCCTATACAAAAGCCATTTTTTTTTCTTTTTGTGTGTTCTATATGGTATCTATAAATATGTACTTGCTGTGAAATTCCACAAATGTTTGCTCCTGACGTAAAGTTAATTCATATTCCAGATGCTTTTCATATGATATTTATTTGGTTTTGGTGCATTGTACAGTAAGATGATGGAATTGCTTAACCAGTTGGATCATTCCAAACTCATCTCCTCGTTACAGGAGTCTTATCTTCTGTGACTGCCACTGCTGAATTCAAGCAATAAACATTAAGCTATGAAAATCTATGGTCTCATCCACTTTCATTTCATAGTTCTTCCACCTTGGGATTCTATACCTTAAAGCATGCCTGATGCCTTTTGCAAGAAACGTTTCTTAGAATGCAAGCTACTAGTTCCGAAACAGTGTGTCTCAGTATTTAAATAGCAGATTAGGTAGCAGATATTCCCAGCCAAGTAAACGTCATGACAGATTGCACCCATCTCATTTATGATTTGGTCACCTGACAGAGTCGAACTGAACACAGGGCTGGTCATTATTTACAGAAATAGTAACAATTTAGTGAATATAGACTAAAATATGGGGGAAATAACAAGAGGTATATATACACCCATCATATGTAAGAGAAACAAATACATATTTATACTTCTTTACATAAAATATAGAAACTAATATGAAATCACAAGTATGTGTACAAAAGATAACCATGAGAATGAAAAAGTCTAAAATAATAATACCAATAAATAAAAACAAATAAAGAATGTATTTTGTAAAAAGGGGGGGGGCATGATCTATACACAAAATCTGCTTCATTAAGCTAAAGATGTTTTGGTGACTATAGTGTCCCTTTAATATTTTTTGCAGTTATTTTTGCCTAAAGACCAGTTCACATCTTTTGTTTTCAAGTGCTACATTTAGAACAATTTTTATGTTTCTAATATTTGGGTATTAATGAATTGGCTGCAATTAATAAATGCTTTAATATAACTGATTTGTTTTGGAGTAAATTTGGGGGGGATTTTTTTGAATAAACAAATTTCACTGGTTAGGTTTATAATTGAATCTGTAATTGTGTTATTTTATGAATCAAATTCCAATATTGCTTTAATTAATGGGCATGTCTAAAAATATGGGCTAAGGACCCCACCTGTCCACAATGCCTCCAATATTTGTCTGAATTTTATCATTTGAACTTGTATAATTTTGAGGGCATTAGGTACCATCTGAATAATCATTTATAATGGGATTTATAATGAGACTGGTTGATAAAGTCCTGGTGTCATTGCTGATAAATGTAGTCAAATGGCACGTAATAACTATAAAGAGGTTTAGGGAGCATGCTGATTTGAAGGATACACCTCCCAGAGCAGGCTATTAATGCTTTGGGGACCTTTTCCTGTAAATTCATAATATAAGCCATGACTCTGGCCTAATAGTCTGTTACTCCTCGCCCTATACCCTAACTCCTTTATCTGCTGATAAAATTCATCCTATTGCATATTCTTAACTTCTCCCTAACCCCATATATAATCATGGGAATCTCAAACGTTAGCTATCGCTGGTGATTACAGATTAACCTACAGTTACATATATGTAATTTCCAAAGGGTATCAATAAACAGCAATATCATTTTATTCAGTGAAATGATCAAAATGACTAATTATGAAAAAGTTGATTAACCCACTCTTTGGGAAACCCTTGTAATGTAATGTCCAAAAGCATGTATTTGTGCTATACAATTGTACAAAAGTTACATGCTTAGACCTCAATGTTTATGGTTTGTTTGTTATTTTACTGAATGTTCTCGTATTTGTATTCCTAGCACTAGAGGTTTTCTTTAACGTATCTAATAAAATAAAGCTCTATCACGTATCGTTATTTCGAATTGTGTTCGGTAGACCTGCTGAAAGAGGTTAACGATAATAATGCTAAAGATTAATAGAATTTTGCTGTCTGAACATCAACAGAAAAAATAAGCCAGACAGATGAAAACATTCAAACTTCACCAATGAGCAGTGATGCTAACTGAATAGCAATGTTCTGTATATATCAAAATTCACTCTATTCATGGGGTGAATGTAGCAGACTGCTTGGTTCAAATAGCTCACAAAAATGGCTTTCAGCTTCTCTGGAATGGCTAGGCACAAGGATATACAGTAACCAGAAGAGAAAGCAGTTTTTTATTTGTACAGAGCTGCATCAGAGTTATAACGTAACATGATACTTTGTTGGCAAGTAAACTATAAGTCAGTTTTGTCTTACAGCCAGGATGAAGACAGCCTGAAGGCTGGCAGAGCACCACGTGAAATGCATACCTCACCGTTTCACAGGACGCAGTTGGGAGGAGTGGCTAGTGATTGGATTTATTTTAGCCATACCAATTCATACCAGCAATGGTGGCTGTAATAGGCTGGAAGCAGTCAGCTGACACTCTCAGCCAATTATAGCCACCCATTTCTGCACATGTTTATGCTTCCTCATTAGCCCAAATAGCACAGATGGGATGGTTAACATTAAAGCATCAGAAATGGTTTAACACTGAATGGAAGGATGGTGCCAGGTGACTTCAGACACTATAACCATTTCAATGAAATGAAGCAGTTACAGTGCATACCGTGTCCCTTTAAGGAGTGGAATACAGGGAATCACTCTCTATATATTAAGCTATCTAGGAAACTGTAACCAGGCATTGCTGCCCAGTTCTGGAATCCTCCTAGCTGCTTCCTCTCTGGCTCTTTATATGAGATAAACATCTCTGCAGAGATCATTACTTAACACGCTGGATATTTATGTTATCTGAAGACTGGGTGACTTCAGCAGGAGCACTTAGCTCTATATCTGTCCCCTGAATTTCTCTTTTGGTAAAAGCGGCAGACTATATGACTTCTTATTAGATAAACATTACATAGAATGAAAACATACTTTCAAAGAAAAATTAGGAATACCAATAATGATATTATAAACATCTTAGTTATTTAACTTATATTGTGGCAACTCTTCAGGCATTTTTTTCATTACCTGCGTTATTCTTTCATGCCCTCTCAAAGTCTATTTGTTAAGCCTGAACTCTTAAAGGAACACTAACTTGTTGAGAATACAAACCTTTATTCCCACTGATTTAGTATCCCTGCCCCTAGTTTTATAACTCCCCCCCCCCATCCTTGTGGGTCCCATAAAAATAATAAAATAAAAGTTTTTACTTACTTTTCAAGTGCCGAGGCTCCCTAAAGTGTGGACCATTCCAATGTTACTCACAGATGGACCTGGTGCCCACGGACAGCCAGCGCCGCATGTGCATCCAATCTTCCTCATATGAAAGCATTGAATCACTTCTGCGGTTTGCCCCATTACCAGAAAACAGGGTCAGGTTACTCCTGGCATCATAACCACTACAGCGAGATGTTTAAAGGAACCCTTTAACATAAAGCCGACTTTGCGCACTGTGTAAATGCTCTCACTGTTTCGGTGTCTCTAGCATGTCCACTTTCTGCTACACTCACTACATCTACCTCTTTCTCTATCCCAGGCTGCACACCAGGAGCTCTGCCAGCTAGTTTGGAGAGGAGTGAACAGTGAGAGATGAGGGAGAGGATTTCGGGTTTGTGGTTAGCCAGAGAAAGGAGATGAGAGCTGTTGTGTTTGTAAAATGGATGGATAGACTGGGCCGAAAAACGAAAGTGGGGGATTAGCATAAGGTTTGTGTATTCTTATAAGGGAATCTTGTGAGCTTCCCTCTGAAACCAGCCCCACCAGACACCAGGGTGTTATGACTCTTTAGTGTTTTCTGTAAATAGAATTCTGTAATTAGGCCCACCATACTTGTCAGCACCAGGCCTAATGGGCTCTTAACCCAGCCCTGCCAAATAACTAACACCAATCCCTACTATTCCCACAATATGGGTATCTTTCATATCCAGATAAGTAGCTGTGAGTGTCAGCAGAGGATTGTGGGGATCAGAGTTGTTGCAGTTGCTTGCTATCTCTGAAGCCATTTGCTTTGCCATAAGATTCTAGGTGTGGTTATCCTTGGCCTAAAATGTACTGATGTCTTGCTAGAGATGACGAGGCGACGTAGAAACATTGGTCTTAGTGATCCAAGTGCACGGTATAAAGCACAGTGCATATTATCACCAGTACAAGCCCTGTTTGATGTAAGTAGGGGGTCGACACGTTATTATTTAATTGATGTTTCCCATTCAATTTATTTTTTGTTCCAATGCCCGTGCTGGTGCCAAAAAAAAAACATACCAGATTGATGCAGTTGAAAGAATCCTCTAAACATTTTTAAATGCAATTAACCCTTTGAATGCTGTTGCTATCTGTAATCCTATATGACGAGAGAAACCAGCTGCAGCGTGCTAATTTGGCGCTGAACCTGTTCCCTTCTTATAACCTCTGCTCTGTTTGGTTAGGATTAGGCAGCCTGTTGTCACATGCACAGGGATTTATACATCCTGTTTAACCACGTTCTCAAGGATGTGCAAGTTGTACTATTTAACAAGTTTTTCACTTCATGTCAAACCCCTCACCGTCTGTCAACAAAATAGCAAAATATCCGTAATAGAAAAAGCAAAAAATAAAAATAAAAGAGAAAAAAAAACACAAACATGTTGCTCATTTTATGCTAATAACAAAAACAGTATGTGGTTTTTAAACTGACGTTTCCCTTACCTTCACAACATGAGCCATAAATCATTTACTGTAACATCATCCTTCTTTTCATGTACGTACAGAAAGGAACTTGATTTCCAAGGTTTTTATTTTGTTGTTGTTGTGGTTCAGATTCCAGCAGCTGGATTTGATAAAATATTTCCATGATATCGTAGATAGACTTTTGTGTCACTTTACAAGCCTGATGGTGAATAAATGACATTTTAGTTATATAATCCACAGGGATCTGTTCTGTTTGTTAATATATACAAACACGCCAACACAATTTACACATTAGGTTAATAGGTTTATAAACAAACAGCAAAAGAGGGCAATGTGAGCCCCCAAACATTACTAGTAAAATACTAAGGAAGCTACATGATTGTTGCCAACGGTTTAGACATTAATGGCTGTGTGTTGGGTTATTTTGAAGGGACAGCAGATTCACACTGTTATACAGGCTGTACACTTACTACTTTACATTGTAGCAGAGTGTCACTTCTTCAGTGTTGTCACGTGAAAAGATATAATAAAATATTTACAAAAATGTGAGGGGTGTACTCACTTTTGTGATATACTGTATATATATATATATATAGTAGACTAAACAATGGACAATGTTAGTTTCAGCGGCAGTATGGTATTCTCTTGTTCAAGATGACACTGGGCATTATCACATCTGCAAACAGCCTATCTTGATATCTGTATAAAGCAATTTAGGGATCCAGTTCCTCTTTTGGAAAATTATAGAACTGGAATGTCGACTCAAGTAAGAACGTGCTAAAAGCCCTGAAACCAGCTGCACAGTCCTACTTGAGATCCTCGTCACGCCATCTGGGTTTTTTCACTGGTATCTGGGAACACTAGAGACAAATCTCCATTAAGCACAGTGGGACATTCAATCACTTGGTGAGACGATTATTAAATGAACACTCCAATCACCAATACCAATACAGCTGGCTGTAGTTGCTGTGGTGCCAGGAGTGCTCTTTTTTAACAGTTTGATTTCTTACATGGGGTTCACCAGGCACCAATCCCCACCTCCACCATCATCTCTGTAGAACTGAAAGTTCCCCAGCAGGAACTTTGATTATCTATCCTGAACTAAGCCTCGCGATACAGGCCTTAGCACATTGACTGACAGCAATCAGCTAACGTAGAAGAAAAGAAGGAAGCAGCACCTTGATGTGGCCCTCAAATCTAAGTCAATATGAGAGAGAACAAATGAAAATGAATATAGTGTAGAAGATTAACAATTTGGTGTGGAGGAAAAATGAAGAATTGCACTTACATTGTTTTGGAGTTATAAACTAGCTCCATATTCTGTGCATTTGTGGTACAATCATCATCTGGAAATATAGACTTGATGCCTTAATCTGAGAGGGTGTAATCCAGATATATACAAAAAAACAGAAATGCTAATATAGTGTAATATGTGAGGTGTGCAAAGTAGTGGCTAAGATGTATGTAAAGTGCACACTCACATTTAATTAAGTTTACAGATGACTCCTTGTGTAAAGCTTGTAGTGGAATAATAACCAATCTTGGATATACGTGGTCTGTCCGGAAAAATTCCAGCCATCGTGAGTATAACGCAAATGGTTTGCGCAACACCGATGTAACCTGGTAGCCAAGGAGAGTGGACTGGAATGCGCATGCGTAATCAATGATGACTTCACTGTGCTAGACAGTGGGGGATGCTAGACATCATTAAGTGAGTATGTGTACTGTGTGGCCATTTCATTCAAAATGCAATGAATCTGCATCAAATTTTGCCTTAAGCTATTTGAATGTTTCTGAAGGTTTTCGGGAACAATGTAATGACTGCAGCACAAGTAAATGTGTGGCACAATAGCTTCAAAGACGGCCGAGAATCTGTTAAAAGATTTGGTACCTTTTCCCAAAATTAAAATCACCTTTGAAAGGGAAGAGATTTCAGACCGTCGATGAGATTCAGCCAAATACGACAAAGCAGCTGATGGCGATTCCAGCAAAGGATTTTGCAGAGTGTTTGAAGAGTGGAAAAGATGCTGGGAGAACTGTGTGAGGTGCCAAGGTGCCTACTTTGAAGGGGACTGAGGAATCATTGTGCTATATACAATGTTTTTTTTTTTTATCTTCTTCAATATTTGCCTCTATTTTTCATATTACATGGCTGGGTACTTTCTGGACAGACCTTGTATGTGCGATTCCCTCTCTTGGAAATATATGAGTTAAAATCCTCACTGTGAAATATGTAAAAACAAGAAATAAAATGTAGTGCACACTTTATGATAAAATAAATAAAAAAACAAGGAGATGTACTTACTGACTTGGAGCAAAAATTGGTTTTGCTGAATCCAAAGGCGTAGGTGGTATGTCCTCCATCAAAGAAAATGTCCAAACATCACAGAAAGGTACAAGAACTGTATTTAAGAATTAAAAACACAAACAATAAACATACAATAAAGTAACACAATAGCATGTTTTATCCAGTAAAATAGTATTTTTCAACGTGTTAACACACTGAAGAGATATATATTTACAAGTTTGTGGAAAGATCATAGAGAGGTGGGAGATGCTATTCCTGCTAACATCTCGGCTACTATGTACTGGATTGTCTCAGAGGTCCTTGTGCACAGTCTGCACCTTGGGTCTTGCCTAGTGTAGTAGACCCCACTTCTATTGATCTGGTGCGGAGTGCCTGTTCCTGAGCTGCTAGGATTAGTGCCTCTGTGCTGTCGTTCAATCCTGCATTTTCCAACACTGGCAGGATTGCATAATGTGAGCCACATCCACTATCTGCTGGTGGTACATCCCATGGAGTGGTTTGTCTTGCCATGGAACCACCTCTGTTTCTGCATCCTCTATATGTTCTTGTCTCAGGCATTCCCTTAGGAGTTGTTCTTTGGGAGACATATTTGTGAAGTACTTGTGGATGATCTGTGTTTCATCCAGGACCGTGGCCTTGACACTCATGAATTCCTTCTGTCCTGATCATCCTTCCTCTTTTTGCTATCTTCCGCCCACATTTATCTAGTCTAAATGACATTCTGATGTCCTTGCTGTATATCCTAGTTAGGTGGATCAGTGAGTCAGTGTCTTTCTCACTCTTAGCATACAGCTTGATGTTGTCCATGTAGAGTAGGTGGTTAATGGTAGCACCAGTATCCATATCTACTCTTCATAATAATCTGGATAATGGTACTGAGTCCTATGCAGAACAGCACTGGGAACAGCACCTCCCCTTGGTATATGCCACATTTGATGTTTACTTGTATTATTACCCTGGAATTGGCTTCTAGAGTTGTTTTCCACTTGCCCATCAAGTTCTTGATGAAGTTTCTTAGGGACTTGCTGACCTTGTATAGAGACAAGCATTTCAGTTTCCATGTGTGTGGCATTGTGTCATGTGCATTCTTGTAATCAATTCAGGCTGTGCACAGATTGGTGGTTGTGGCGAAACCAACCTCGCCACTGTGAACTGGAGAAGCCTGGTTGCTCGCCTGCTCCCTTTGGACTATGGCCCTGCAGGTTAAACCATTTATTTTCCCTGCAGAAAGGCTTATTCGTGTGATCTGAGTGCCATTCATCTAATAATGTGCGCTCAGATCAAAGCTATCTGGGGATGTGTAGAAATGTGTGTTTTATGTACTAAATGTATCAGTATGTAATTTTATGTCTTTTACTGTCTTTTTGTCTGCCATGTGGGTAATGGAGTTTTGCCTCTGTCCTGGGAGATAATTAGATTCCTTCCCCAATTATCTCCAGGCCAGAGGGGAGGGATTGTGAGGCATTGTGGGAGGTAACTCATGTGTGATTGTTGTAAATTCCTCCCATGCATGGGAGAATCCTTTATAAGCCTGTTGTGTGAATAAATCAGGGTTGTTCCTGTTTAACCCTCCAAGTGAAGTGTCGTCTCATTCTTGGGGGGAATTTGACTGTATGCCGATTGCCAGGAGTGTAAGCTGTTCATAGGGCTTTTCCTGTTCGGTTGCTTCCAGGGTTCGTGTGTTTCCTGTTCGGGAGTTGGGGATTCGTACAGTTTGGAGTTCGGGAGATGGGTGATTGCAGTAGCTGCTGGTCTATGGAAAAGGGGATTATTGCCTAAACGGTTTTTATCCTCTTGTGAGAGAAACGGTCCGTTATAATTGGTGGCAAGCGACGGGATCATTCCCACAGCCCAGAAGGACAGCTACAAGGTAACACCATCCCCTGGACTTACAAATGGAGGGCAGCAGGGCAAGCATGGCACCCAGCTACACTCAGGAGCAGTATGACAGAGAATTTACCACGCGGATGGCTTTCTTTGGACCCAACCCCCCGGAGAGATGCGTGCAGTTCGTAAGGAGCCAGGTAGACGAGTACCTGCAGTTCATGGCAGATCCAGCCAAAGGTATCGGCCGCCCTATCCAGTGGCAGAGTGCGTTACGGGGACTCAAAAGGGTACCCCAGGGAGCTGAAGGTGTCGTCCTTCCTCCCCAGCGGCAGTGTGTGTCCCAGGGAGCAGAAGGTGCAGTCCTTCCTCCCCAGCGGCAGTGTGTATCCCAGGGAGCTGAAGGTGCCGTCCTTCCTCCCCAGCGGCAGTGTGTGTCCCAGGGAGCTGAAGGTGCCGTCCTTCCTCCCCAGCGGCAGTGTGTACCCCAGGGAGCTGAAGGTGCCGTCCTTCCTCCCCAGCGGCAGTGTGTACCCCAGGGAGCTGAAGGTGCCGTCCTTCCTCCCCAGCGGCAGTGTGTATCCCAGGGAGCTGAAGGTGCCGTCCTTCCTCCCCAGCGGCAGTGTGTATCCCAGGGAGCTGAAGGTGCCGTCCTTCCTCCCCAGCGGCAGTGTGTGTCCCAGGGAGCTGAAGGTGCCGTCCTTCCTCCCCAGCGGCAGTGTGTGTCCCAGGGAGCTGAAGGTGCCGTCCTTCCTCCCCAGCGGCAGTGTATATCCCAGGGAGCAGAAGGTGCAGTCCTTCCTCCCCAGCGGCAGTGTGTACCCCAGGGAGCTGAAGGTGCCGTCCTTCCTCCCCAGCGGCAGTGTATATCCCAGGGAGCAGAAGGTGTAGTCCTTCCTCCCCAGCGGCAGTGTGTATCCCAGGGAGCTGAAGGTGTTGTCCTTCCTCCCCAGCGGCAGAATGTCGGTCTTGCCCCCCAGCCGCAGGACAAGATAATGAAAGGGGAGACAGCTGGTCCCCCTTTCCACCAGCAGAGAGAGTGTCAGGGAGAGGAGCCTGATACCACCTCTCCCCAGCAGCAGTTTACAGTCCAGAGAGAGGAGCTTGTTACACCCTCTCTCCAGCGGCAGCCTAACCCACCAAGGGGAGATGTTACACCCCCCAACGGTGCAGATGGGACCGTAGTCTCTGTACTTGCAGCACAAGGGGTAAGGATGGTCGTTCCTGTCCCCCAGCCACAGAGCGGTATATCCAGAGGGGAGACAGTCGGTCTCTCCTTCCCACAACCAGGCTCCAACCAGGCTACTTCCGCGGTAGTACTGGCACCAGGGCAGAGTACCGCTAGTCTCTGCCCACTCAGCAACCCACCAAGGCAGCCTAACAGTTCCCCACACAGTCGTAGTGAGGCACCTGGACATGGACAAAGCTCTCCTCTACGCATGTGTAGTAACCAGTTATTGTGGGTGGGCTGTACTGCTGTTTCTGTTTTGTGGGTGGGTTGCTGGACTAACCAGGGCACTGACCGGCAGGAGGTCAGATACCCTGTTAGTCTAGTTGGTAAAGGGGAGAAGTGTGGCAAAACCAACCTCGCCACTGTGAACTGGAGAAGCCTGGTTGCTCGCCTGCTCCCTTTGGACTATGGCCCTGCAGGTTAAACCATTTATTTTCCCTGCAGAAAGGCTTATTCGTGTGATCTGAGTGCCATTCATCTAATAATAGATCTGGGGATGTGTAGAAATGTGTGTTTTATGTACTAAATGTATCAGTATGTAATTTTATGTCTTTTACTGTCTTTTTGTCTGCCATGTGGGTAATGGAGTTTTGCCTCTGTCCTGGGAGATAATTAGATTCCTTCCCCAATTATCTCCAGGCCAGAGGGGAGGGATTGTGATTTATAAGCCTGTTGGGTGAATAAATCAGGGTTGTTCCTGTTTAACCCTCCAAGTGAAGTGTCGTCTCATTCTTGGGGGGAATTTGACTGTATGCCGATTGCCAGGAGTGTAAGCTGTTCTTAGGGCTTTTCCTGTTCGGCTGCTTCCAGGGTTCGTGTGTTTCCTGTTCGGGAGTTGGGGATTCATACAGTTTGGAGTTCGGGAGATTGGTGATTGCAGTAGCTGCTGGTCTATGGGAAAGGGGATTATTGCCTGAACGGTTTTTATCCTCTTGTGAGAGAAACGGTCCGTTATAGTGGTCTATATGGACCACTAATGCAACAGTATTAGAAGTCCTCCAGATGCTTGACATATTATATATATACATAAACATACACATGTATAGTTAGATGTGTGTGTTTGTGCAATTCCATACATATCTCTTTTTACATACAAACATGCATAGCAGTCTGTAAGCAACAGAAGTAGACCAGCTGCAATGATACATTTTCTTCAGAGAAGTTAGAGAGTTCCTATTCAACAACATCAATATAATTGCTTTGGACAGCAGAGCAGCAGGTGCTGGGTACACGAGCTTCAAAAGCCCAGTCATTCATACCAGCCAGTGGCATGAATCACAATCACCAGTGAATACGGCATTGGAGCCAGCTACTGGGAATAGTTCAAAATACCAACCATCAAAACCACGCTGGAAGTTTGCGAAACTACAACAGGTTCCTAATAAAAAAGAAGTTGGTTTTCTGATGTTGGTGATTGTGGTTTCTCCTGCCTGCCTAAAAGTGAAGGTCCAGACAGAAAGAGTGCATTTCCCTGATGTAAGACATTTACTGGTCAAAGAAGTAAAAAAAAAACTCTCCAGGTCCTCACAAGTAAAAGTTATTTTCTTACCAGGCGAACTGACGGAATGCTAGGTATCAGCAGTGCAAGCAATGACGTGCTGCTTGTTTCCAGTATAAGTAGGACTAATTGTATCTCTGGCAGGAGAGCCATCAGGATTGTGCTTTATCATCCATTCTAAACATGACCTGCTGAGCAATGAGGAGCCCGTTAATAAATGCAAGGTTAAATTAGCTGATCTGACCTGAATTAAACTAATTGGCTGTAAACCTCTCCTTATAAATATATATAATTAAACGTCTGCAAAGTTTGATGATCATTAGTGAAGCTTGCTCTTGGAAATGTGGGTTATCTGAGCATGGGAATTAATGTTTTACATTTATAGTCTGTTCTACAGTTTGGTGCTAATACCAGAATTACATTTATAACAGGTATTAAAACACATTTCATGATGGAGAGTGCTACATCTCTCTTATAGCTAGAAATGAAAAATCATGAATTATTTTGCAGTAATTTCACATACGTCTGGTATTCCTGGGCCCTTGATAGACATAAAGGACAGTCAATGATTGGCAAAGCATTATGGGACATGAAGCTTATCAATAACTATAATATAATATATTATAATATCAATAACCGGCTACTGAACAAGAGGTGGCTGCACTTCTCCTTTCCTCTTGCCCCACCACTTGCTCGTTCGATCCTGTCCCAGCTCACCTTATCAGATCTCTCTCCCCCTGTCTTGTGCCTTCCTTAACACACATCTTCAACTGCTCTCTCTCTTCTGGCATTGTCCCTGCTGACCTTAAACATGCCACGGTAGTACCTATCCTGAAAAAAACACCTCTTGACCCGTCCTCCCCCTCTAACTATTGTCCCATATTCCTGCTCCCTTTTTCCTTAAAGCTTCTGGAAAGACTTGTGTGACGAAATGCCTTTTGTCACTGGATTGTTAGGTGACAAGCTGCCCTTTGCCCCCGGCTGTTGGAGGAGCCTGATTGCCAGCCTCCTTCCTCATGACTATGGCCCTGGGGTGTAGTGACATTTAAAAGGACTATTTGGGGCTTATTGGCTTCTAAAGACTGTTTCTGCCCATTTGGATCCATGGTAAGGTGTGTCTCTTCCCCTCCCCTGTTTCCTGTCTATTGTTCTCCAGCAGGGTGTTGTCCCAGGCACACTGCCAAACCAGCTGGAACTGACTGCTTTTGTCCCTCCTTGGTTTCTCAACAGCCCTTGCTATGCTTTGCCCCATGGCAAATTTACTCGGTTCATGGGATCTGAGCACTGTTCACCTAGATTGGGCCCTCAGATCCGAGCAATCTGTGGATAGGTTAAATGTGGGATTCTGTGTAATATAATAAGAATTATGTATTTTTATGTACTTTTACGTATTATTGCTGTTAGTGTAAAATGTAGATATTTTCTGTACCTGGAGATAATTGAGTTTACTGCAATGCCTTAAGCCAATTATTTCCAGGATGGAGAGGAGGGATTTCATTGTGTATGTGTGAGTGTAATTATGTTAATTATTGTTCCCATTGGTTTGTGTCCCTTTTGTCACAGTTTACCACCAGGTCCAGGGGGTTCGCCTCTGGCCTGAAAACTTGTGTATAAGGAGTAATAAACGCTCATTGGAGTCAGATCATCTTGTACCTTCATGAAGTTTCGACTCATGTTTGGGGGATTGGAGAACTACACTCTGGGGATTGCTATAATCACTATACTCCCCAGGGTATAATCACTAAGCTCTGCTAAGAGCTTGTTCCTGTTCCTGCTCTCTGGAATTCGGAGAGGTCGACCTACTGGAAGCTGGACCCTGGTCTTGCGTCCAGAGTGGGTGGAGACAGCGAGACCCCAACCAAGCTGCGGCGGTTCGTGGGGTCTGCAGTGGTTATGGTGTCGGGCAGAGTGCTTGGAGTCCTCGGAAAGCACTAGGAGCATCCGTCAGCGGAAGGTACCCGGTCGTTGTGCCAGCGGTTTGGTTACAACTTGTCTTTACCCGTATGTCTTTTCCTCAATTCCAACTCTCTCCTTGGCCCTCTTCAATCTGGCTTCGGCCCTCTCCACTCTACTGAGACTGCTCTTATCAAAGTTACTAATGACTTAATTCCAGCTGAATCCAAAGGCCACTATTCCATACTAATTCTTCTTGACCTCTCTGCTAATATTGACACCGTTGATAATGCTCTCCTTCTTCAAACTCTTCAATCACTCGGTCTCTGTGACTCTGTCCTCTCGTGGTGTTCCTCCTATCTCTCTCAACGCTCATTCGTGTCTCCTATTCTAATTATACCTCCTCCCCTCGTCCTGTCTTGGTTGGAGTCCCCCAAGGCTCTGTCCTTGGTCCCCTTCTATTTTCTCTTTATACTGCCTCTCTTGGCAACCTTATTACCTCATTTGGATTCCACTACCACCTGTACGCTGATGACACCCAGATATATCTCTTTTCCCCAGACCTCTTCCCTGCCGTCCTGCAACGTGTCACTACTTGCCTTTCTTCTATATCTGACTGGATGTCCTCCCGCTTTCTGAAACTCAATCTCTCTAAAACTAAGCTCCTTGTCTTTCCTCTTCCTAATACCGATGCTCCTCTTTCACTTTCCGTTCAAGTTAGTGGTATCCACATCAGTCCATCCTTGCGAGCGCGCTGTTTTGGCATCTTACTTTATTCTGGCCTCATCTATGAGCCTCACACCCAGTATGTTGCCAAATCCTGTAGATTCCATCTTAAAAACATAGCCCACATCCGCTCTTCTCTTACTTAAGATGCTACCAAAGAGCTTGTCCATGCTCTAGTAATTTCCTGCATGGATTATTGTAACTCTCTCCTAATTGGTCTTCCCAAAAGCCGTATTGCCCAGCTACAGTCTGTAATGAATGCTGCTGCCAGGCTGATTTTCCTCTCTAGTCGCTCCTCTCACACCTCAGCCCTCTGTCAGTCCTTACATTGGCTTCCTGTATCCTATAGGAGTCAATTCAAAGTGCTAGCCGATACCTGTAAAGCACGAACAATTCTAGCCACTCTTATTTCTCCTCACAGATCCATAGGTATGCCCCTTCTCAGTCTCTCTGCTCTGCCGTGACCTTCTCCTATCCGCTGCTCGCACCTGTATGACCAACTCACGCTTGCAGGACTTCTCGCGGGCGGCTCCATTCCTATGGAATAGCCTGCCTACCGCCATCAGACTCTCCCCTAATCTTCAATCCTTTAAAAAGTGCCTTAAAACCCATCTCTTTAGGAAAGCTTATGGCCTCCCAGAGTAACCTCTACCTCACATACCTGTCTCTTGCTCTCTCCTAAAGGGCAGCACTTTACTCTCTCTTTAAGCTCTGCTTTACTCCCACCTAATTTGATTGCTATTCCCTGTCCTAATGTGTTTTATTGTTAGTTAAAAAAAAAAAGGAAGGTTATCCATCACTTGAGACCAGGATTCCTGAATAAATTAACGGCCATTGTCATAACAGGATAGTTAGCATATTCATTAATGGCTGGACAAACATTAATCGACATAAAATATATCAGATAAAATATTTTTTAGTGTAGCATTCCCATGTTCTGGAATAAATTGAATGTTTTGCTTTGAGTCACAAAGAATTATGGCAACATAGTTAATGTTGGTTTATGGAGAGAGTGGCTGCAGTTATTGCCATCAAGCAATCACCCAGTGTGGATTAATAATAAGATACAGCTGCCAGAGTTCACATGACCAGATAAAATGATGAGCCCCAGGACAGTTTACATAACGCATTCAATGTAACAGTAAGAATTAAAAAAAAACATATTCATTGTAGCCCCGTTTTAATGCACTGAAAGAACACCTTTTCCTGGATATCGCTTGAAAAACAATTCCATAGTTTCCTTCCATTTTGTATTCCTGACTATCGTCCAATTCAAGTAATAATCTGGCACAGATTTCTGCAGTTGCACAGCAAGCATTCACCGAATAATTGTATAGAATATGGATTAATACAACACTGACAGAAAGACCTGCTCCGGCCAGAGGTGTGGAAATCCAAGAGCCGTTTCATTAATTAACTGATTTCTAAATCTGCGTTTCTATTTGTTAAACCTTGACTTTTATTGCCAGATTGGTATTTTTTTTAGTAAATGCTGCATGTTATGCGCAAAAATATAAAAGAGTCAAAAAGAGGACAGAAGTCTGATAGTTCTTATTCACCCAACACGACAAACGTGAAGAACTGGTCTCAAACGTTCACTTAATTCAAGAAACATACATGGGTTTATTGTTAATCTAAAATGATTGCGTAAGGTGAGGGTAAAAAGGAGCACATATGAACTGGATCACAGCTGACCTCATCCAAATGTACCAGTTTCGGGATTCTTTGTGGTCAAAGTTTAAGCGTACTGGCTCTATGAATGATCACGGTGCATATAGACAATGGCTAAATATATGCACAAAACAGACAAAACTGGCCAAGGCCCAATATTTCTATGAAAATCTGAACACTAACATCTCAAACCCTAGAAACTTTTGGAAAGTCATAAATAAACTACAAACTCCCCCAATCCACTCCCAACCCTCCACCGTCAAAGTGGGTAACCAAACCCCGCAACTTCCCTTAGATGTAGCAAATGCCTTTAACAATTATTTTGTCGGATGCTCTACTGCCCTGATTCCCAAGCTAATAAATGACACGCATCCTGAAACTACAAATGTGGATCAGGCCCCACTAAATTTGCAAAGGCCCAATATAGATAAGTTTAATTTTAGACCTGTACCTGTTAGTGTCATTAAAAAACATCTTAATAATCTAAAAATGAAAAACCAGTCCGGACCTGATCAAATCCCAGCAATGCTGTTGAAGCTCAGTGCGCCGGCAATTGATAAAACCGTCTCAACTCTAATTAACGAATCCTTGGTTTCTGGATACATACCCAAACTTTGGAAGACTGCGAAAGTAGTGCCTATCCATAAAAGTGGTGACACTACTTTGGTTTCTATCGCCCAATATCATT